AAAAAGTTTATTTGTTTCTAGGTCTTTTTTAGAGGTCTCATGAAATAAAAATTATTACCTATGGGATTTTAAGTGTTTGATATTCTTTAATTAATAATATACACACACATATATATATATATATAGACACACACACACACACACACATATATATATATATATATATATATATATATATATATATATATAATGATTATTCCTATTTAAAATTTCCCCAATATCCCATAACATTTCTTACCCTAAAATCTTTCTTTTCTTGATTTAATTTCTTCAGTTAGAATTTTTTTTTCTTCTGCTTTCCCTGTGAAGTGATCTTTGGAAAAGGTCAACTTGTAGTAAAACCCAAATGCTTGGCTCATTGTTCAATCTATATGATTTATATTTTCTTGCCTGTGAATGGAGGTATTTGACATTTACTCTTTTTAGATCTAATCTTCTGATTTGTATGAAAAGGTTAGAAAGCATTGGAATTAGTGTAATCATCTTGAAGTGAGAAGTCTTTATATGGCTCATTCAAAAAGCCTTGAGAGACACTCAGCAGTGAAATAAATGTTTTCTGGTGCTTCAGTATCATTGTTGAATACTCTTTTATTAAATGAAATATTATTACTCTTTTGCAATAATATTGTTGAGTCATATTATGCAAAAACATTTGGTAAACTAGATCACAAAGAACTTTTGGAACTGTGATATAACATTCTAATATTTGGAAAGAATATTAGAATAATCCAGAACCTATACTGGTAGCAAACAGCTTGCATATGGATAGAAAATGAATTCAGTAACTATACAAAAAACGGAAAGAGTAAAAGACAAGGATACACCGTCTCACCGGGCTTCTTTACTCTATACAGGGAAACAATTCTGAGTGAATTAGGTATCCTACCAGGATTCATTATTGGTAGCCACAAAACTTAAAAACATGACACAGAGTTGATAGTGGATATAGAAAGGAAACTACAGGAACTTCTACAGGAGGTAGTGAAGGAAAGGAAGAAGAAAGGACGAAACTTCAGTTGCAAGAAGATAGAATGCATGGTTGTTTGCAAAAGAAATAGTACAATATGCAAATTACAAATTGAAGATATCAAAATCAATATCTAAGTTTTAAGAGGATGGAAAGTGTAACACTAAAATCCAAAAGTGTATTTGGATAGTGAAAGATGGCTTTCAAAAGCTAAGCAAATTATTAACATAAAGATTTCCTTAGGAAAAGAGTATTAAATTGTTATACTCTATAAGTCCTCTTATATGATAGTGAATGTTGGACAATCTCTTCACAGATGAAGAAGAAACTTGAAGCAAAAGAAATGTGGTTCTACAGAAGGATGCTGGGAATACCATAGACTGGACATATGAACAATGACGGTTTTAGTGAACATGGGAACAAAAGACACTTATGCTTAACATCAGAAAGAGAGTTAAAACTTTTAGGTTACATAATGAGGAGAGAAGGTTTAGAAAATATGACACTCACAGGACATATTGAAAGCAAGAAGGACAGATGAAAACGGAGCATAACCTACTTAACAGGGTAGAACAGGGTTTAGGAGAGATAGCAAAAAACACAAAATTTCCTCAGTTACAAAGGATAGAAAATTGTGGAGAGCCATAATTGATAATTTACTTTGTAGGTATACAGAAGATCTCTGATCTACTTTAGATGTTCATTTAGCTGAAAACTTCTGGGTCAACCATTTAGTGGCAGGGATTGCTGTCTGCATGTCGCCAGGATCTTCAGATTGGTTTTTCATATTTGGCTAAAAAAACAAAAGTAATTTGTCAAGCTGTTTTTTTTTTTTTATTAAAGCAGATAGACTCTCACTGATTGGTACAATACAATCTTACTACTCCATTTTGCATTCTACCAAAATTAGTTAAGCTTAATATACCGGGTGTAACAGCAAAATTGTTCAAATTGTGCAACAGCAAAATTGTCCAGGTGTTAGATTAAGCTTTGAACTGTTGTATCTTAGAAATGATTAATGATATCTTACTGGAATTCTCCATTCTGTATTTAGCTCTAAGTTAAATGATGATTCTTCTTGCTGTTGTGACATCCTGATTCAGTTTTCTTCTCTTTTCCCTCTTTTTAAACTTATTCATCGGTCTCTTGATGGTTCTTGAATGGACTTTGAAGATGGAAACCAGAGTATGAATGTTGGTACCATTACTGAAGGTCTGAATGACCTTTTCCTCTCACCATTGCTCAGTTGGGAAGACATAGTCGGGCTGACACAAAATGATTTTAACCAGCTCTTTTTGTAACTGAATAACTCAAAGGGTTTTTCAGTGATTCTTAGGACAAATAGTGTCAAAATGGTAAAACATCTTATCGGAAAACTTGGAAAAAAGAAACTCATTTGGTTTAGTGTTCTTTTTTTAGATATTAAACGTTTTGTGGGATGGACAATTATCCCATGCTGTAACATGTTATGGACAATTTTGCAGTTACACGCAGTATATCTATAAGAAAAACTTCATATTCATTACTTTAGAAGTATAAGACAAAGTTTGGATGCTGTCAATGGTGTCATCTGCATATCTTAATGATATTAGAAATGTAGATGACACTGTTGATGGCAGACACAGAAGGAAAACTGCAGGATCTCATAGGCAATATATTAGGTTGGTGCAAAAATAATGACGTAATAATGTTGTTTTTTAACTTATTTTTAAAGTCAAAAAACAACATTATTACGTCATTATTTTTGCACCAACCTAATAGTAAAGGATATGTAAAGAAAATGATGCATTGTTGTAAGCAAGAGAAAAAAAAACACAAGATGCAAACTACAAATTGTTTATATCAACATCTAGCATATACAGAAGCTTAAAGATGTAGAAAGTGTATTAACAGAGGATGGGAAATATGATACTGAAATTCAAAGATGTCATCAACTCTCAAGTTGACATCTACGCTGACAACACTACTATTTACTCCTGACTCAATAGTAAATCAGGCATCATTGACAAAACTAATCTGGCCAAGGACCTCCAATCTGTGTTGAATGGAACAGGAAATGGATTGTAAACTTTAATGCTTCTAAAATGAAACTGCTCTCAGTTACCCACCATAGAGAACTCTTCCTGCCTCCCATCAGGATAGCTGATGCCCAACTCCAGGAAAGAGCCTCTCTGTGCCTCTTTGGTCTCATGCTGTCCACTGACTTGAAGTGGAACAACTACATTGAATCTATCGCTTCATCTAGCGCAAGGAAAGTTGGTTCTTTGTGTTGTGCCAGCTGGTTTTTCTTGCCATCCTTCAAATCTACAAATCAATCATTCATCCTTGCATGGAATGCTGCTGCTATATATGGTCTGGTGCTCCTGTTCATCTCAAGTTCCTCGACAAAATCCTGAGATGGATATGCAATGTGGTTGGCATCTCATCTGCAGTTGCTATCTCCCCAGATGTGCTGTGGCTTCCCTCTGTCTCTTCTACAAGTACTTTCATGGCAACTGCTTCGATGAGCTACTTTCACTGCTTCCCAAACTGCATGAATTTAAGCATGCTACTAGGTTGGCATTTCGATCCCACCATTTCACTGTCGAAACAGCTAAATATAGCTATCTCTTCTACTTCAGCAGCTTCTTGCACCTCCTGTCAGTGAAACTTCCTTCCTATCACTTGCTTCCCTGATAGCTATAATCTTCAAATATTCAAATGTAATATCAATCGACAGTTTGACCTTAATCCCTGTCCTTCTCTTTATCCTTTTCTCAAACACTCCTCTTTACTCGTACTCTCACTCTCTGTAGCCCCTTGCATGCTTAGTGGCACTCCCACCTTGCTTTGGGTGATTTGCTTAAAAAAAAAAAATAAAAAGATGACTTCAAAAAGCTAAGCAAAGTAAACAGGAAAATCTAATTAGAAACAAAGAAAAGTGCTGAACTGCGAGTTAGTATCAATCCTCTTATATGACATTGAATGCAGGACAATTTCATTACAGATGAAAAAGAGACTTAAGGCAAAAGAGATGCGGTTCTACAGAAGGATACTGAAAATTCCATGGGCATAGTATGTAAGCAACAGGGAAGGTTTAAGGAAGCAAAAAGGACACTGATATTTAGAATCAGAGAGAGAGGGTTGAAATCTCTGAAACACATGAGGAGGAGAGGAGAATTTGTTCGTCACAGAACATATTGAAATGAGAGGAACAAAGTGGAATTGCAAGTAACTTACCTAACAAGCTATTGTGTAAATAGATGGCAAAATGGTGACTGGGAGTGATGTCAGAATGAATAATGTTACTAAGTGCTACAAGAGATAGAAAGTTGTGAGGAGCAATGAACATCCACATCTTGAAGGGACACAGAATATCAAAGAACAGTTCTTTTCTGTCAGTAATATTTTTAAATCCTGACCATTGACAATCAATTTTTTTTCTCAGTTTTCAATGGGATTCTAGAGTACAATTCTAGAACAATTGTAATGCATTTGAATCCTACATATAGTAGCTTAATTTTGTTAATATACATAGCCACACAGTTATCATGAGTGAAAATCCTTTGTCTGACATGATAATAAATGACTGATATTCATAGTGGATTTGATGTATTTATGATTGAAATATTTGACTTGGAAGATTACAAGATGCTTATCTGTTGGCTCTCTGATGTCTGCTATAATAGGTTTATTGAAATTTTGCTTTTTTAAAAATCTATTATGAAGGATTGCCACAAAGTAAGGCAAAAACACAGCTGAGAAAATTCTAAATCCAAAGAGATGAAAAAAAATGATCTGAGGCCAAAAATAGATAATCAGAAGTTGGCTTCGACAAAGAAAGGTCAGCCAAGATTATAAACATGGCAGAAAGCTTTGAACCTTCTTTCTCTCAGATCATGGCTCTCCACAGCTTCCTACATCTTGTTACTTTCAGCAATATTTGATCCTTTATGGTCTCTCTTGTTTTTGTTCTAGTTTATCTGTCCATTTGATCAAACTTGTCAAGTAGGTTTACTTGCAGTTTTCTTTTGCTTAGGTTTATGGACACATGTTGAAACATTGTTTCCCATACGACCCCCAAAGTTAAACAATGTTGAGCCAGGCAGTACCTAGATGGGTGACTGCTTGAGAATACCAGGTGCGAAAGCTTGGATGTGTGGGTGGTGTAATGGATAATGGCTTGGAATTGTTAATCAGAAAGTCAAGTTCCAAGTCCAGTTGGGTTCAATACTTTTGGGAAAGCTATGAATCTATCTCTTCTCACCCCCACAGGTATGGATTATTAGTAAGACATGTATCCCTAAACCATTATTATCTCATCCCACCCAAAAAGATATAAATACAATCTATAAATATTTTCTGGCTTTAAATAACCTGCTAATTTTTAAGGCATGGAACACAAATCAATCAGTTTCTCTTGTTTCTCTTGCTTTCACTACTTCCTGTGAACGTTAAATTCTTCTCATCTTCTTTTGTAACCATGTATCCCAAAAGTTTGTTTTATTTTTGTTTGTTGGCAACAGTTTCTTTTGTAGTTCCTATTCTTAGAACTTCCTCATTTGTCACATACTCTGTCCATTGTATTCTCAATATTTGTTTGTAGACTCACATCTGTTGCTTCATCTGTATAGAAATTAAGTTATGGCAATTGAATAAATATTCAGGAAGTTTTATCCCATTTTCAAAGAGCTAAAAACATCTGGAAAATTAGTTAAATTTTATTAATTAATGACATAAGTAATTACATTAACCTAATATAAAGGGAATTTTTCCATTCAGTAAAATTCTGTGAATTTTTGTTAAAAAGCTGAGATCTGAATTGGGAGCACAATGAGCAAAACATGAATATAGCATAAAAAATGAAGACATTAGTCCAAATGTAAACAATGATAATTCATCAAGCCAGAAATCCAGGCATAAAATTAATGATAATATGTCTGCTACAATATTTGTCTATATTTCTGAGGTATTGTATTGTAACTATTTACAATATTTACATCATTTTGACAGTTGTCTTCATCTTTATTGCCATATTCACAACATTTTGGCCATTGTATGCTCGAACCTTCTTCAGGTAACATACATTAGAATTTTGAAAAAATATTTCAGTCAACAGGGGTAGACTGGCACATGGGATTAAAACTAAAAAAAATCTACTCCTGTGGACTAAAAGGGTTTGGTTCAAAATTCCAGTGCATATCACCTGATTAAGTTTGGAGTGTATAACACCCCAAAAGTCATGAATATGGCAATAAAGATGAGGGCAACAGTTCAAACAGTGTAAATAGTATAAATAATATGCCTACTTGTTTACTAATAGTTGAATGACAGTCTGAATAGTTGGGATGGAAACCAACTGAAAATAAATAATTACAAGACAAAAATGTATAATGCTTGACAATGCTTAATCTAATAATAATAAAATTCAATTTTTTTTTTTTGTAAGATTTGATACTTTTGCAAGAATCTATTTCAACAGTTGCCTTCCAGGATAAGATTTATTACTAAGATTAGTTGTTCTTTTTAAAGTTTCTAAACTATCTTTAGAGTCATTTCGCCTTCATACACAGCATAAATGTTCCTCATTTTCTCTGCTGTATTATTGTTTTGATTATTTGATGTGGTGAACATGTGTCAGTACAGATTCAAAAGAAGACCTGAGTTATGTGCACACATTTCTGTTGAAGCTAGTCACATCTGGGTTTTCCTTGTCAGCAGCAGAACAGCTTGGCATGTTCAGATATGGGCCTCTCTGCAACTTATCCAGGTCTTTGTCAACTGTCTCCTGTCAACAAAAGTGACAGGAAAACCAGTAAGTGGGCATTTGGAAAAACTCTATCCTGTGAAGATGTTCCCTTTGTGCATTTTATTCTGGAAGTTGCATGCTGCCCACCATGCTGTGGTTTCTGAGGCAGTGGCATCACTAATTATTATTCAATTTTATTTTGTTTCTTCCTGTCTTTTTCCATTCTCTGTGTGTTATCCCATAATTCTTAAGAGAACAATCAGTTAAGAGTTTCCCCAACCTTGACATTCTTTTGCCTTATTTTACAACATTGGAAGACATAACATTCATTAAGTTTTTTTGTCTTCCATAAGATTAATCTTTTTTTTTTTTTGTCTTTCATAGGGTTACATTTTTTTCCTTTTATAGGGTTAAATACTAACATAATTGATAAATGATGCAGAAAGCAGATGTGAAACTGAATCTTGGTCTTGTCTACTAATATTTGAGACAGGATTTAATAAGATTCATGGGCACACAACTCTGTTTGGTCTGTTTTTGTGAGGAATATCAATGAGGTCTTATTCAAATAAATGGATGCAGTATGGATTAACACAGTCGTTCACAAATGTTTTTGCCTGTCCATGTGCACTCTTGAACAAACAAATCCCTGAAGAGCAAAATAGGCCACAAATGGGAATCAATATCTCAGTTTGGCTAAAAAGAAAAAGATTTATGGCTAGTTCTACATGGAATTGGTTCAACTTGTTTTACAAGATTTGCTTCATAGATATGTCAAAAATGAAAGCAACTCCCGAAAACAGACTGGGAGTTAATTAGTAATTGGTTAATAAACAAAACACGTCCAATTTATTTTTTATTAATTTCAATATCTATTTGCTTTATTGTCAGAATATCTTTTATATGAACAACAAAAGTGCATCTAAAACTCTGAGGAAAATGTTATTAATTTTTAACGAATATTTCATCATTTGTTGCTTTTCATTGAATTGTCAGTCTATGGCCTTTTAATAAACAAGTTTTAATATTTGTCTATATTTCTGAGATGAGGTATTGTAACTATTTATATCATTTGGGTTGTTGTCCTCATCTTTATTGCTATATTGATGACATTTCGACCATTGCATGCCCTGGCCTTCTTTAGGTGATATGTTTGAATTTCAAACTGAACCCTTGATTTAGTCCATGGGGGTAGAGTGTCCTAATTCCATGGCAATGAATATGTCAATAAAGATGAGGACAACAGTCCAAATGATGAAAATAGTTACAATATCTCATATGAAAAATTTAGGCAGATGTTAAAGGATTAGTATGGACTCGATATACCAAAAATATGGTGACATTTAGAAAAGTACCTGAAGAAGTTCGAAACGTTATGAAAAGGCAATAAAGACGAGTCTAAACAATGTAAATAGTCCAAATAGTTATTGTTAACAATGCTGACTTTTGTGGTCCTATCTAGTATTGAACTCACCATCCTTGGCTAACAAATTCCTAAAGATACCTAATCTCAGAAATATAGGCAGATGTTGAAGGTTCAGTATGGACCTGATATACCAAAAATATGGAGACAATTAAAAAAGGTTGGAATTAGAACAATCTACACCCATGGACTAAGTAAAGGGTTCGGTTTGAGGTTCCAACATTTATAACCTAAAGAAGGCCAGGGGGTACAACGGGTAAAATGCTGTGAATATATTGCAATAAAGATAAAGACAACAATCCAAATGATGTAAATAATGTAAATAAGTATTTATATCAGCTTAAATTTTATCTTTGTTAGATGAACCATTGATAAAAATTTAATTAGCAGGAATAGAATTGGAAAAGAGTACATGTGATGTCTTATCCCGAAATTTGAACAAGGTGCAAACAAATAAGACCCAACCACTATGTGAAATTTAAAAGAACAAACCTGTATTACAGTATATATATAAAAAAAAAACAACTACCAAATTTACATACGAGAACTTGCACAAATATTTCCTTTTGTGCGCCTTATGCAAAAACTTAGGTTGGATAACAAATCAAATAATGTATGTAACGAAGAAAAAATACAATTTTTGAAAATGAAAAATAAATTTTGAGGTAGCAAAAAAAATTACATAAGGCAGAGAGCGACCCAGACAAGGCTATGCTGAAGGGTAGAGTCTCATCCAGGGAGGTAGACAGACTTGAACCTGTTTATATGGGGTTTATGGGGAATTTTTATCCGAGCATACAGGTTTGGATTGCTTCACTTTAAATTCGACCTTGTGCCACATCATACCCCATGGTGAGGTTGTCAAATATTACTAACTGGGATCTGTTGAGTACGACCCAGACTTACGCGAGAACTACCGACCTTCCAATTGTAGCACTCACTACTGGATTAACTTGTGACGACCTTGTGCATAACTGTTACCTTTATTCTTCTTGTACTTGTTTTTTTGCTATAAACCTTTACTTATTTTATCCATCTTGTTTTTCAAGTATATGTTTCCTATTAGCACAGAATATAACAAAAATAAAGTAAAATTAACATAAAAGAGTCAAAACTGAATAATAGTTGATAGTGTTTCAGAAAATAAACATCATGGTAATGTTTTGGAACATTTAAATTCTTTGAAATAATGACCATGACAATAGTGCATATCAAATTCACAAAACTAGTCTTGTGTGGCAAATTGTGAAGCCAGCATGTTATGCTTCAGGGATGAAGGATAAAACCAAATCTTACCTCAAAAAAGAAATTATATTGTGTTATCTGTTAAAAAAAGAATATCAGAATCAACTTTAGTAGGACTCAAAATATGGTAATTGTTTGCACTTCCCTACCATTCTTGACCAATCACAACCTTTCTTACCTGAATAAAAGAAAGCTACTGTGGACAACAGGAGAAACTCTTAGCTTTGTGGGAGAATTTCCTGAGGTTTTGAGATTGATTTCTCTGATCATCTCTTAGATGTGTCTTTGTCTGTGAACAGAGCACAGCTGAAAAAGTATTGAGAGGACAACCTTCATTGCACAAAACAGACAGGGAATTAGTAGTAATACCAACACCAGTGCAACTGACAGTTATGGGGGCAGGGGAATTTTTTATCCAGGCCTGGTCAACCCACATTAAACTGACCTTTTGTCACATCCTGTTAGCATGGGGCAGTGGGTAAATACCAATTCTTGGCTCTTTGTGGGTGAAGAAGGTAGTTACAGTTTGTGGATTTTTTTAACTTTTTATAGATGCCCTCATCATTTTCTGATATTGCACTTGTGAGACCCTTCGAATTATGGCCATGGGCTCATAACTTTTGGATATGAACCTGTCCTCATCCATTTTGAAAAATACAAAGTATAATCAGGTCATTGGTTCAATAAGGTCAAATTGGCAGCTGATCTAAAAAATTACCTACTTTCTG